GTATTTTTCAATGGATTTTTATTAAACCGGTATAGTTTTCAAGTGTTTTTAATATAATTTTTTGTAAGTTTAGTTGATAAATATTTTATCAAAAAAACATTTATATATTAAAAAAATTAATTTAAATTAAAATAGATAATAATTTTAAAATTAAAAAAAAAACTATTAATTTTAAATATTCTAACAGGTGGCTGATGCCAAAGGAAGCAAAGGTTATTGCCATAAGCGAGAGGAATTTTGGGGTATCCTCAAGTTACCACATCAGTGGCATTCCAAACCAGTAAAAACATATCATCTCAACATTCTTTCTTCACACTCCATCAATCATCTAATGAAAAAAAGCAGAGATGGTATGCTTTTATTGACCTGGGATACCATGTCACTGTTTTCCCGGGGATACAATAATTTTTCCACAAGTAGAGCCAAAAAAATTGAGGGGAGGTGAAATTTTTATTGATGATTTGAATCTTAAAAATTTTTCATGATATTAATTAAATTTTTTAAAGAAAATTTTAATTTTGATTTTTTATTGATATTTTATTAGAATCTTAACAAAATTAAGAAATTAATAATTTTCTTTGTCCTATATTTTTAATAATTTTTTTATTAAAGAAATTATTTTATTAAAATAAGAAGTAATGCTTCACTATATATTAATACATAAACAATAAATTAACTAATTCAAATGTAAATTCATATATTTAGATTATAATATTTTTATTTTTTTACAAAACATTTAATTAATTCTTACTGTTCTCTTCATATTTGAAATGATAATTACAATAAAAATATTATAAATTATATAAATTAAAAATTATTAAATATAAAAGACGATAAAAAGTTAAATGATAATGACATAAAATTTTATATGATAAATATAATATTTAAAAATTTTAAAAAATATAATATAATATATGTACTAATTTTAAAAAATTTTCAAAATTAAGGAGGCGGCGCCGCCCCTCGCACTGCGGCAGCCCCTGGTTATTGCCATTTAAAAGTATTAAAAAGACACTGCTGTTTAATCTATTGCAGCAATAAACACAACCCAATTTGGCCAAAAAAACACACACAAAAACACGCACAAAAACACGCACACACCCAATTGAAATTAGAAACAGTATCTTGTTTTCTGAAATCTGAATATGTCATAACTCGTTAGTGTTAGAAGAAGGACTAGTCCCATTCGACAAAAAAATTAGAAGTGTAATACAAATGTTGTTACGCATGACAGTGCGTCAGCAAGAAACATTATTTGCTGGAGTAATAGAAGGCGGAACCCATGACATCCCTGAAGGAAAATAAAAAGCGTACCAAAACAATTTGCTGCTTGATCGGATCTAGATCTAGAACACTGTCAAAATCATCGTAATTTAATTTACTTTTACATGGGTAATTAAATAACTCTACACGCTTACCAAAAAAAAACCAAGGTTTTGAAAATTGGACCGGATTGGTCGGTCGAACCGGTTGAACCGGCACCAATAGTAGAAACGGTTCGGTTTTATCTTTTAAACCATTTGAAAATCAAACCGTTTAAAAACCAATAAGAACCGTTGAAACCACTCAAACCAAAAAACCGTTCGACCGGACGGTTCAATGCTTAAGAACAAAAGCTTGAGAAATTTGTCCCCCATAAAGCTTGAATTTGCAACCTTGAAATCCTTTTAGTTTATTCCAACCCTTTGCCACCAAGATAGTACACTTCGTTTGTCAATGAATGCTTGAAATTTTATTTAGTCTATTTTTAAAACCATAATTATTTAAAATTTGTTCATAAGGAACTTGAACTTGTGATCTTTGGTATGAGAAAGCAACCACCTACCATCGCACTCAATGGATATCTTGTGAAATACTTTACAAAATAATATATTTATACTATATTAATGAACCGGTGATTTTATCGGTTAAATTGATTAAACCAGTCAAACCGTGAACCGAAGGTCAAAACGGTTTGACCTCCGGTTCAGGTTTAAAAACATTGAAAAAAACCCTTTACATGAACCCTTAGATGTAATTTTGCAACCTCACCATGAATTGCTCGGTCTAAAATCTATAATGTCACTCGTAATTTTGCAATTTACAAAGTGTAAAATCTGGAGTAAAATTTGAATATGTATAATGGGAACAATTAAAAAGTTTATTTTGTTGTTATATTATTATAATCAATATTATTTTATATAAATTTATATTTTTATATATTTAATTTTTAAATAAAATATTTAATAATATGTTTAATTTGTGAAAAATAAAAATAAGAGGAGAAAAAGAAAAAAAATGATTTTTTAACTAATTAAATTATAATATTTAAAAGTATTATAAATTGGTTAATTAAAAAATTCCTTCCTCCTATTCCTTTCAAAATATCACATATGGCGTAACAAAAACTCCCCTATAATGCGTATTATTAACAAACATTTCAAAACCAATCATATAATTATTATTTTATTTTACTCATATTTTATATATTTAAATTAAAATTTAAAATTAAAAAATTTTGAAAAAAAAAAAGATCTTAGCAAATTTTACGGTTCGGTGAGAAAGTGACAGGTTGCATTGACTGCCCGCCACTGCTGATCAAAATTTTTACTTAAAAAAGGGCCAATATGATGTCATTTTGGTCTCTTTAAAGTCAAAAAAAGTTTACCCGAGCTATATCATTGCAGAGAACAAAGGGAAAATACCTCAATAGGCCAAAGCTCTGTTTCTGTTTTTTTTTTCCCTTCTTTTTTGAACACTAAATTGTGACCACTAAATCCAAACGTTTAAAGGCTTGAGGCGAATCATTAGGATCCAAAAGTCAAGCTTTTATTTTTGTTCTCTTTTCAAAAAATAATATTAATAAAAGAAAGACCCTCGTTATATATACGTTCACGCATATGAGATAGTTACCCTCTACATTTTCCTTTCCCAAGCAGCATTTAACCCTAATGACTTACCCCAAGAATAAGAGCTTTCAAACAAGATTAGTGGAATGAGAATGTTCTCGGAATAGCCACATTTCCATTGTACAGGATTTTTCATGCAAAGTTTGATAAGTATGAAATTCAAATTTCACTCTTAATGTTATAAAAAAAATTAATAAAAAAATTAAGAAAAATTATAAAATCCTTTTGTTTCTAACATTCTATATGAAGTGTTGGGTTTAATATTGTTCTAAACAAAAAGTTCAATTCGCTGTAAGTGGTATCAGAAATAATGAATTTTATAGATGAATTGAATCGAAAAGATGCATGATGGGCATCCTTAAAATTAAAAGTTTCGTTGTTGGTGTTGTACTTGTACTGTATTGCAATTATAGGTTTTTTTTTTATTATTTTAAAATATTAATCAAAATTAATAAAAATATATAAAAAAATAATTAAAATCATTAAAATAATTAAAAATTAAAAATTTATATTTTTATAAAAAAAATGTTGTGTAAAAAAAGTTTATGCGAAGCTTTAGAACGGGAGAGGGAAAAGAAATCTCCTGTTTGAGCTACTTGAGGATTTTATGGTGGAAAAGGTTATTTGGATGCTATTAATGGTGTTTAACTGAGATCAACTTGAGTAATGAGTTTGCAGAGACAGTTGAGATGAAAAGAGGGGGTAGAAGGGAGCATCTTCCAGTGAAGGTCCATGATGACAAAAGAAAAAAGGGGAAAATCAGGAAGAGCATTTTAACATGTACGTCTAGATTAAGTATGTAATTATTATATTATTTTAATCATAATTAGTATTGAAAAATATAAGTTGCTATTAATTTTACTAGTAATGCTATGCACATCATTTTAATTGGAAATTGCTTGTATATAGACCAATTTTTATTTTTTAAATACTAATTAATATTAAAAAGTGTAGTAATTATATTCTTAACATATATTTTAAGGATATAAATTAAAAAACATAATGATAAAAAATTGTCGGCTAAAGTGAGTATAATTGAAAAATCTGGCTTAAAAACCTTTTAGTCCTTTTATTTAAAAATAATTGCTATTTTTTGACTTTTTTCTTTTAAAATTAAGAATTTAGAGAAACAATATCTATATTTATTTATAATATTCTTTAAAAAAATAAAATATGGAGATAAACTTTTTGTGATTGGATGATTGATTAAAGTGAATAGATAATGATAGAGTTAAAGTAAGAAAAAATATTTGTCTACCTTGAAAAATAAAAAATAATAATTAATTTAAAACAAATTTAAAATCAAAATATAACAATTATTCTAAAACAAATGAAGTATATAAATTTTTAATGATCTCTAGACCTTTTTTAAAGTTTTCCAGCCACTTTTCATCAAATTATTTATTTATTTAGGTAATTTTTCGTTTTTTTATTAATTGAAATTTATAAAATAATAATTGATAAATTTTAAAAATTGTTAAAAAATTATAAAAATAAATTTTCAATTAAAATCAGAATCGATACAAATAATTATTTTAAAAATGTAATTAAAATCGATAAAACTGATTATATCCAATTTAATTATTGGTCAAAAAAATTTTGTAACAAAAAATTTAGTTAGTTAAAAATTTAATTTCAATTATAATTGAACTCATCCGTACCTACCTTAGTTACAATAACCCTACTCCAATCCCGATTACAATTGCAATTAATTACAACCTTCTCGACAAAATATGGTCCGCCATCATGTCAATATTTAGTTCTACCTCTATTGGTTCAAATACTCTAAAATGGAGTGAATTAGAGGTCTTAAAATTTTTTTTCATTTTTTATAGAGATTCAGTCCAACCACTTGGCTCTTTACTTTAACTTCACTCACTAAAGATTTTCTTTACACTCTCCACTAGTACCCAAGAGTAGCTTAAAGTAGCTACTCAATCCTTTTACAATGTGTTTTTCACTTAAACACTCCCTTTTACAAAGAACTCCAATAAACCTCACTTGATTTCTCTCTTTGAAGCTTCACTCACCCTCAAGTATCTCTTCTTGGAGCTTCACTTACTCCTAAGGTCACAAAGAAATGGTAGAAAGAAAGATTACAAAGAATATAATCTCTCAAAGATTTAGGGCCTGTTTGGTGTGGCTCCTAGGAGCTTCAGCTTCTGGACACTATTCATGTTTCATGAATTTAAATTTTCCTCTTAAAAACTTACACTTTTAAATATTTTTTTAACCTCAAAAAGCTCTTAAACAGTAAAAGTTCAAAAGTTTTAAATCCAAACTTTTCATAAACTCCCTTTTTACTTACTTTCCACTCACTTTTTCACCTTTCTAAAAGCTAAAGCTCTATTTTTCCTTCCAATAAAAATTTAAATTTATCACTCATAACAGTACTCAAAAAGCAAAAGCTCTCACAAGCCACACCAAACAGGCTCTTAATTTGCAAGTGTAAGCTCAAGTTCTTGAAAGGATTTGCAAATCTAAGCTCAACTCTTGTTTTTTATCACCTAATATGTGTTAAGAGGCTTTTCAAGATGTTTACCCATCATATTTATAGAGATAAAGTCGAAACTAGCTGTTTATAGGCATTGAGATGCATTAAATGCTCAACAGACGCATTAGATACGAAAAATTAATTGTTACTATCCACTTAAGAGTTGAATCTAAGAAACAAAAGTCGAATCTATAAAGCCTAGATTTGACTCTCCAAACTAAGAGTAGACTCTTCACAAATTTATGGAATTTGGTCAATTTTTCTTCATGCAAACCAAAAGTACCAAGAGTTGAATCTTAAAATTAAGAGTCAAATATGAAGGTCAAAGAGTCGATTCTCCCAATGGAGAGTCAAATATGCCCTACATCCAAATCTTTTTGAGCTCTCTAGAATTTGGGAGTCGAATCTTGTTGCCTAGATTCTGTTGACGACCACTTAAAATGGGATTAAGTGTGAAAATATAAAAAGAAGGGGAGTCGCCACTCGTCTAAATTATAAGGTGGGACAAGTCACCTAAAATAGGTATGCGCAGAGATCAGGGTTCGGGGGTTCGGTTAAGAGTGAGGAAGGGCATACGCGCACCTCACAATCCTCCATTTAAACACGGTTGCATACTTTAACATTGGGGGGTTTTAATTCAACTTATTCATTATCTGTTTACTTAAGTCTTAATAAGCAAGCTTAAAAAAAGATAAACCAAATTGAAACATTTTTTAGGTTTTTGGACTAAAATGGACAAATTCAAGAACATGCATGTGAAGTGAGCATAAATAAAAAATTAAAGGACTAATTTGAGTAAATTTAAAAACATGAAGGACTGATTTAAAAAAAATTTAAAACCTAGGACTAAATTGATTAACTGTAAAATCCTCGGGTGAAATTGAAATGAAGAAAGATAATTTTGACTTTAGAAAAAAAAAAATAGAGAATTGAAATTAATTGTTGACTCAATGTACTCCAAGAGGGGGGGTAAATTGGAGTTGGAGAATTTTCATTTCTTTGCAACCACCAAACAAAAATTAAAGAGAGAGTTGAGAAGAAAAGCTTGCACAATGATTTTATAGAGGTTCGGTCCAACCACTTGGAGCCTAGTCCTCTACCTTAGCTTCACTCACCAAGGATTTCCTCCACACTCTCCACTAACAAAAACAATGGTGGCTTAAAGGAGCCACTCAATCCTTTATAAGAATAAGGGTGTTTCTCTCAAATCTCACCCCTTTACAAGATAAACCCCAAAGATCCTCTTTACTGATCACTCTTGAAGGAATCAACACACCCCCAAGATCATTCTCTAATAGCACAAGAAGAGGATTACAAATAAAGATCTCTCAAAGATCAAAATCTCAAGTTAAAGCACAAGTTGGTAGGTAAAGATATTCAATACAATGCTCTCTAAACTTCTTCAGATCTGTTACCAACCATATATATAGCCCCTTGCTCGAATATAGCCGTTTCTAGCCGTTGGGGGTCATTAAATGTTCTGCATGATGCATGGCTCGAGTTTCAGAACTGTCAGGAGAGCCGGCTTAGATTTATAGAGCTGGCTCTGAAGAGCCGGCTTACACTTCCAGAGCCGGCTATCCAGGTTTGCAGGCCATTCTGTTTTCCTCGAGAGCCGGCTGCAAGACTTTGAGCCGGCTTTGGAATTCCGATTTTAAATACATTCAAAAGAGTCTACCTTGTGCATTAAATGCACCCTCACAGTCGGTTATAAAGTTGGAGCCGGCTTTGCATCTTTTGTTCGCGCGCGCCAAGCAACGGTCTTCAAATTTTTGCCTGTAGAGCCGGCTGCAGCTTCTAGAGCCGACTCTCTGCACTTCCATTTCACCAGAGCCGGCTGCAGCTTTCAAGAGCCGGCTCTCTGCACACTTTGAATCCTTTTGGTCTATTTTTAGTGCAATCCAAGTTTACTTGCAATCTTTTAGCAACTTAACTACACACTTAAATAAACCAATTAGTCACTCAAATGTGTTTTGTAATCATCAAAATCATAGGTACAACAATCTCCCCCTTTTTGATGATGACAAATCACTTTGAGAATGAATTAATGAAAGCACATATATACTTCAATATTACCCAGAATTTTAGCACAAAGATAAAGCACATATATACTTCAATATTAGCTAGAATCTCAGCACAAAGATACTCTAGAAAATGACATTAAATTCAGCATATTCTTCTCCCCCTTTTTTTCATTCATCAAAAAGCATATAATCAACAAACTCCCCCTTAATTCCTGCTATCAACCTTTAAAGCATCAAGAATATGAATATAATCATCAATATAACACCATAGACAACCAAAGTTATGAATACACTCATCAACTAATAAACTCCCCCTCAATAAGAGCATATTATCATCAAAATCATAAACAACCATTCACAAAGCATGATAACACAAGTGATGCCATTTCCAATCATAAAACAAGATAAAAAGGTTCAAGACATATCCATAGTCAAATAAAACATAAAATGCATAACCCTAAGATGTCCATCCTAAAGATTAGCCAAACTAAAGAAATATCAAGTTAGGTGACATCAGGTGGGGGTGGACAAAAAAAATGGTTAACAAGCCGATCAAGCTTTCCTTCCACGTTAATCAGCTTTCCTTCCACGTTAGTCATTCTCCCTCTCATTTCTGTCCGAAAACCATAAAAGTCGGTGTGCAGCTGCTGCATCTCAGATATCATTAACTCCATGGTTGCACGGTTAGTTCTTTGCATGGAGGCTCAAAATGGTCTTGGGTTATCATCTTCATGTTCTTCTGCCCCTTGTTCTGCCATTTCTTGATCTGTATCACCTTCTTCTTCATCCCCTTCTTGTTCCCCTTTCTTTATCCAAATGCCATTTCTAAACAAACAGTCCATTTTCTCAAAAGAGGCTTTGGTAAATGTAGTCCCACCAGGAACCGTTCCGAACCTAAAGAAGGTAAGATCAATATTGTTCCTCTTCGCCAATCTGGTAATTAAAGCACCATGAGGAAGTCCCGTAGTTGGTGAGTAAGGCTTGATTATGCTCCGAAAAATGTATCTTCCTAGGTTCACCCTTTTTCTGTTAAGAAGATAGTCAAACCAGGGAAGATCACTAGCAAGAACATAAGATTTAGAACCCTTCCTCTGAGCAATAATGCGAGATATAATCCACTGCAATGCTCTATTCTCTGGTGTAAGAAACCCCACTTTAATTTGATTTTTAGTGCAATTGGGGGCAATTGTGGCTCTAACTAAAGCATGATTCACATCTAGAAACTCATCATCTCGTCCTTCAGGTATATCTAATACAGCACAAATATCCTTTGGAGAAAACTGAAATGACACCCCAGCAACCATAGTTTTGCATTTATTCCCTCTCGGTTTCAAATTAGCATAAAATTGATGAACAACTTCATAATACACATGCTCTTTAACTTCTACATAATCCTTCCACCCAAGTTCCCTAAAAATTATGCTCTGATACCACGCATATCTCCTTGAGGAAGTTGACTGAATTTCACACAATTGCATGGTAGCACAGCCAAGTTTTTGAAAAAATTATAGCGATTAATGGCATCATCATCCACAAACAGAGCATTATCAACGAGGTTACCTTCTTCTTGGGCTTGGCCACCGGCACTAGAACTCTCAATCTGTTTCCTCTTGCTTCCGCCCCTTCTTGAAGCCATGAGAGAGAAATCTCAACAAAAATACCAGCCACACCAAAAATACAACAGATCCCACACAAATTTAAGTGAAAAGCTTGAGGTTTTGTGTTGGGTAGGCAAGGATTTGATGGTATTTGAGTGTTTAAGGGATGGGTTTTGGAGATTTGGAAGGATTTGGGTGTTTGGGAGAGTGAATGGCGAGTTTTGGGAGAGGAGAGGTCGTGGGTTTGGGTGAGAAAATGAAACAGATCTGACTGGTTTGTGCGAGGAGAGAGAGAAACCCGAGCCTTAAAAATTTGCAGGAGAGCCGACTATAATTGCAGAGCCGGCTGAAGAGCGGGTCCGAGTCGGGTCGTCTGCAGGTTAAGCCGGCTGGTGAACCTAGAGCTGGCTGTGGTTTAGAGAGAGAAGACTCTCGATTTTTTTGGGTTGAGCCGGCTGTGAACCTAGAGCCGGCTATGCTGTAGAGAGAGAATACTCTCGGGTTTTTGGTTGAGCCGGCTGTGAAAAGGGGGATGAGCCGGCTCTATTGGCCTTGATTGGGACAAACAGAAAGTTTGGGGTTTTTTTGAAGGGAATGCACCTTAATTTGATATCTCTTCATTTAACTAAGTTTAAATTAGACATCCATTACTAAATAATGCAACTTTAGTCATATATCAATGAATGCATCATCAAATATCATGAATATAATCAAGATACACAAATCAAAGCATCAATGTACACAAATTCTAATAATCAAATTCATTAATTTCAAGAATCATATCAAGCACTAGGATCCAACATGCCAAGCTCATTAATTTGCATAAATTTAATAATCACATCAAATGATATCATATTCAACAAGCATATATATCAAAGAGTGAACACATATAAACAAATTGAAGTAATTATACTCAATGAATAAATGCAATAAAATAAATAATACCAATTTGAGCACATGAGTGGAGCATTCAAAAAACAAATTTCCTTTGCACTTCCACTCCAACATTCTTGTTGAGGCATAAGTCTTTTTAAGATCTACTTTGCTTTCCTTATGACTTTGCCATCAACTTTGCCTACAAAAGAAAATTAAGTTTTGATTTTTGGTACCCAAATTTGCTTGGGTCCATGAGAGTTAGTGCTTAAAGTTCCTTTTGGAACCCAAATTTGCTTCACTTTACCTTGAGCTATCAATCTCTTCAAAGGACATACATAGGCAAAGTGTCCATTTGCACCACAACAATAGCAAGTAACATTAGGATGATATGATTGACTTGCTCTTACAAAAGTAGTCTTAAAAGTCTTTTGCTTTTTAGAATAATCAAATCCAATGCCCCCTTTGTCATAAACACTTCTTTGAGATTTTAAGATATAATCAAATTTTTCTTTACTCAAGGTAAATTTGGAAATCAAAATTTCAAGATCACAAGCTTTTCTCTTTAAAACCTCATTTTCCTTCTTTAAATCTTCATTTCCTTTCTTTAAATCCTCATTTTCCTTTTTCAAAGCATTATTAGACTCCTCATTTTTTAAAGAAGCAATCTCACCATTTAAAGAGGCATTCTCTTTAACTCACTACAAGCAAATGTATCTATAGTGACGGAAGTTTTCCGTCAGTATACACCCTTTTTCCGTCAGTATAGACCCCAGGGGCTATTCCGATGGAAGAGCTTTCCGTTGGTGCAAACCTCGTCACTATAGGGTATATACCGATGGCTAATCAGTGGGTATAGACCATGGGATCTATTCCAATGGAAGATTTGTCCGTTGGTATAGACCCTGAAAATTTTTAAAAGATTTTGCTGTGGGTATAGACCCCCCTTTACAGATAGATAATTCCATTGGTATAGACCCTAAAAAATTTTGAAAAAATTTTCCGTGGGTATAGACCTTTACCTTTACAAATAGATAATTTCGTTGGTATAGATCATTTTTTTTTTTTTTACAATTTGTAATTCACTTTTATTTTATAATTTTCTCCTACACTTATTCTTTTGCTATATTGATAAAAACCTAACACATTTTATTCATATATTGAGAACAAATGGTACTCTAACCCATTTTACAATACACAAAAGCCTTTATAAAGTAAATTTCCTATCAAACAATACCATTCATTCACTGCCCTTTTTATCCACCACAATATAATATGGAAATTCAAATAGGAGAATCCCAACTATGAGCACACAAAATAGTAACTATGTTAAACATACTTGACACTTATCATCGTTCTTTAGCTCTTTCTCCAACTTTTTCCATTGCTACTGAAAGCCTCCCAAGTTCCCCAAGCTAATTTAAAAAGCATTTGTATAAAGCTCTAAAGCTTGTGAAAAATCAAATGCAAAACAATTATTGCATGAAAGAACTTTATATAACTAATAATGATCAACAAACCTCAACCAAGCTGCTGCAAATTGAAGAACCCATCCAATAGAAAAGGGATATCCACCCAAGCAGCTCAAGCACATTCCTTGTGCTACAAAAAATAATAGTTTTTTTTTAGTGAATATTTCTTACAGAATCCAACCACAAGTTATATAAAATCAAATATTGATAAAGTAAACTTTATACCTTATAGTTACTTGTTCTGCTGAGCCAAACAATTTGATTAAGAAATAAGAAAGTCAATAATAATGCATTCTTTGATTGAAAGAAGAATTAATGAATTCATCACAAAAATGGAGTCAATTAAAAATCCAAAAGAGAACTATAGGAAAACGTTTCTTTATAGTACAATCATACCTTCCCCAGCAGAACAAGTGAAAGGGGAGTTCGTCCAGGAACTGGGCTAATAAGAGCATGCAAATCCTTGACAAACTGCAAATTAACAACGTAAAGAATAAATCAAGCAAGATTCAAGATTTGTAATGGACCTAGGCATTTTATCTTATTGAAGGCTTAAACTCATTTAATCGTGTTCAATCAAGGGTTGTGACATATCAGATAACAGATGATTCAAGGTAAAAACTAAAGCCAAATTAATTTAAAAAGAAAATGGAAGTTAATTCAAATGAAGAACCATAAAGAATACTACTATAGGAAGTTTAGTACTCACACTCACATTTGATGTTCATATTCAGTGCCTACTTTAGGTGGCTGTATTTTCACATCAAGCCCATGCTTATGACCCTGCAAAAGTGTTATTGTATAAGAGATATAATATATAGAAAATGCTAGAATCACATTAAGCTTGCTAGAAGTAGCTAATTAGCTATGATCACTATCACATGCTACCCACAACCCACTGCCCCCCCAAAACTCCTCCCTCTTCCCAAATGAGAAAGTAAGATAAAGAGAGAAAAGGAAGAAAAATATTATAAGAACAAACCATTGCTTCCAGTTTGATAATTCATACCTGAATTTTGACAGTCTAGTCATTTTTAGTTCCTACTTAAGATTTCAGTAGAAGATGAATCAAGTATCATAATTAAACAAAACAAGAGATTAAAAAGAGTAGTTTATACACTAACTAGCTATTTTGCAAGAGGCAAAATATATCATAATTAGACAAAACAAAGGTTTAAGGAGGGTAGTTTATACACTAACCAACTATTTTGCAACTTATTTACTAGAAGACCAGAAAATAGTTCTTTGAAACTTATTTACCAAGAAAAATGTAATTGGAAGATGGAATATAGTATCTTAAAAAGACATGACATACATGCTTTTGCCTCTGGTTCAAAGCTAAAAGGAAATGCATCTTGTATCCGTTCCTTCTTTGCTCTTTCTTAAGCTATTGAGGAGAAAAAAAATTGTATTAAACAAGGTGAGTACCTCCAAGTACTGAAAATTGATATTTCATAATGGTTATTCCTCTTGAAATATTTGGTTAACTTTACTGAAATACATAAATGAGAGTGTCTACAATTGAATGGGAAAATATAGGTAAATTGGGAAAAAAAAAGGCTAATTAGCAAATAATGGGAATCTTATAAATCTTAAAGATCAAATCCAGCCTTGCATGGTTAATATATATTGTTATATATATATATATATTAAAAAGAAAGAGAATACTCTGTGCAATAGGATGCCTTATAAAGACCCAAAGTAAAGATAGAACTTGCATTCATTAAACTTTTAAGTACCTAAAGAATTTCTTTTTCCAGTGAAGCCTTACATAACTTGAACCGCATGGACTCCAGCTTCATTTTGCATTGAAGCTGAACCTGTATAACCCAAAACTCCAATAATTGTGAAAACAACAAAAGGACACTACAATTCCTCATAAATATATTTTATCTAATAGAAATAGTCACCTTTTGTGCCTTTAATTTCTGAATCTCATCTTGAAAATTATTTGTTGCATTCGTAGTTTTAACCTTTTTACTGGAGAGTTGAGATAACACATCTAACTTCTTCTTCAACTCGACAACCTGGAAAGACATGAACTATTACTTAGTACCAGACCATAATTTTATATGAAATGTAAGAGTATGAATAGATTTCACCTATCCTGCCACATTATTTGACTTCCCATGATAGTCATCCTTCAGTTTGTGGGCACCAACATTAGAAGTTGGAGAAACATTGACAACCTTGTATCTTAATTCCTCAATCTCCCTTTTCCAAGCCAAATTCACTAGAAAGTCAGGAAAACTATAGAAAACTATAGAAAGTTTAGGTTGTTTGGCATCATCTAAAAACATATTATTGTCTCCAAAGAAACAAATTAATAAAAAGGAGGTCCAATATTTTCTTGGGAATCATCTTTAACATGTTCATGCTTTAGGAAAACCTCTTTAAACATGTTGATTTTCACTTTTCAGAGACTCAACAAGGAATATATTAAGATTTAAGCACAGTGTGATGAATCATTTTATGTTGTTATAAGAAGAGCCAAAACAAATTCCCTATCTCAACATCATGCAAAAAGAAGAGCAACTTTATCAAATACCTAAAAAGAAAAAAGAAAAAAGAATAAACAGAAGCCAATAAGCTTCGACCTAAACCCCTACAGATTCATAAAGGCAATACTTGCAATCATAAAAACGCGATGATGCATTTTCCTCTTCAGCTAGTACTTTTTAAAATATGGAGAACTGAGATAACTCACTTTCCAGCAGTATTTCCTTTATTCCTTTGTTCACTAGCATATACTACATCAAATGTAGATTTCACAATATCAAATGATAAAAAATTTTCATATACTATATCAAATGTAGATCTAGGACGTCTTCCTATTTAGAATCAACTTTTTCTTATACAAATGGTGCAAAATATATGCCTTAATAATTGCAATTTCTAAAGATTTTTTCTATGATAGAGAGAAGCGATAAATAGAATCTTGAAAGTACAAATGAAAATATAAGGATCAGTAAGTTACCCTCTATGTTGGTGTCCAACACTCCAAAAACACCTCGAGCAAGCTAGGGTTTGACAGAAGACGAATCTGTAGGTGTCCAGTCGGTGCTATGGCCCACTGCGCATAGTGGAACCTAAGAACACTGATCATGGAGATGCATTGCGGTCAACGTTACGAATCGATAAAAAACAAAATATCGTTTCAATGCTATTTGAACTCGATCCAACATCAAATCTAGCCTTTGGGCACACACTAATCGGCTCCACCAGTAGGCCGATCCAAGCCTGAAACATGGATCCCAGGTCCCTAACACTAGATCAAGCCAAAAATTAGTCAAAATTTTTTGGCTCGAACATCAGATTTGCGTTATAAGAGAACTGTCCCACAAAGAGAACGCTGGCTAGCCCTTTCGATCAGACGATGATGGCATGAACAGCGGAAGGGAGAAAGGGAAAGGATAGGAGAGGAGAGAAAAGGGAAATGAATTTTGGTGAGGGTTGGAGTCGAACTAGATTTGGGAGAGGGAAATATTTAGGTCTAGCCGGGAGAGAAACTCAGAATTTTGGGAGGAAAAATTGCGAAGATATCCAGGGAAGTGGAATATGTATACCAATTGTAGAAATTAAAAAGAAAAGTGTGGCATGTAGATTTAAATGAATTATATAGACGGAATACAGTAATCCGTCTGTATAGACCCAGCCTATACTAACGATCATTAGTAAATTGTTTGTATAAATCTAGTATATACTAACAGATATATTTTTCAGTTGGTATAGATTTAATCTATAGTAACGGATATATTTTTCAGTTGGTATAGACCCAATCTATACTAACAGATATGCTTTCAGTTGGTATAGACCCAATCTATACTAACGAATATATTTTTCCGTGGGTATAGACCGGAGTATACTAACGGATTTCAATCTGTCTGTATAGAGTGCTGTTAGTAAAGGGCATTTTGCTTGTAGTGACTAAAACCTCATTTTGTTTTGAGAGAGATTCAATCTCATTCCTAAGCAATGAAATGGTTTTAGTAAGAGCAATATTATCATTTCCTAGTTTCTTAATGTCATTCATAGAGCAATCAAGAACTTTACATAAATCATCATAAGAATACTCAAAGGAACTTTCATTAATTGAACTAGAAAAGTTAGAGTTTACCTCCTCATCATTGTTGTCATCCTCTTAAGCCATGAAGCAAAGATTTGCAACACCTTTCTCCAAGGAGCTTTCACTTTCCGTTGAGCTAGTTTCATCATCGCTCCAAGTGGCGGCAAATGCTTTCTTCTTCTTCTTGTCTTTCTTCTCACCTTTCTTCAATTTGGGGCATTCATTTCTATAGTGCCCCATCTTGTTGCACTCATAGCATTTCACACTCTTTTTGGTGGATTCTCCTTCATCTCTTCTTGCAAGCTTGCTCTTGATGTTCTTCTTCATGAATCTCTTCACTTCCTTTGAAATCAATTTGGTGATGTCCTCCTCATTGCTAGACTCATAATTACTAGCATCATCTTCAGTCTCTTTCTTTTGGTTGCTAGCCTTGAAAGCAATATTATTCTTCTTCTTCTCAACTACTTCAACTCCACCATCACCTTGCACTTCTATCTCATATGTCATCAATTTACCAATGAGATCTTCAAGCTTGAGAGTGTTGAGATCCTTAGATTCTTCAATTGTCGTCTTCTTGGCATCCCAACTCTTAAGCAAGCTTCTAAGAACCTTTCTCACCACTTCTTAAGGAGGATAGACTTTACCAAGAGCCTTGAGATTGGTGACTATGTCATTCAATCTTGTATACATATCTTGAATGCTTTCCTCCGGTTTCATCTTGAAAAGCTCATACGTGTAAATGAGTCTATTGATTTTTGACTCCTTTACTTGGCTTGTTCCTTCATGAGTGACTTCTAGCATGTCCCACATCTGCTTAGCCGTATCACACCCAGAAACTCTATGGAATTCTATTGGATTGAGAGCACATTAAAGCATGTTGATTGCTTTGTTGTTGATCATGATCTTCTCCAAGTCTTCATCATTCCAATCTATCTCTTCCTTTGGCACCTCCCTTTCTCCAACAATTTTCATGGGTACATATGGACCTTTCATAGTCACAACCCATGCCTTGGCACATTTGCAAGCATGAAGACTTTCATCCTATTCTTTCAATAATTATAATTAGTACCATCAAAGAAAGGAGGCTTAGTGGTAGACAAACCTTCAAGTGGTTGAGAAGATAGAAATTGAGCCATTCCCGATCAACTCCTAGGTGGTTAAACCTTCAAATTGGAGCCCTTGCTCTGATACCAATTGTTGACTCAATGTACTCCAAGAGGGGGGGTGAATTGGAGTTGGAGAATTTTCACTTCTTTGCAACCACCAAACAAAAATTAAAGAGAGAGTTGAGAAGAAGAGCTTGCATAATGATTTTATAGAGGTTCGGTCCAACCACTTGGAGTCTAGTCCTCTACCTTGGTTTCACTCACCAAGGATTTCCTCCACACTCTCCACTAACAAAAACAATGGTGGCTTAAAGGAGCTACTCAATCCTTTACAAGAATAAGGGTGTTTCTCTCAAATCTCACCCCTTTACAAGATAAACCCCAAAGATCCTTTCTACAGATCTCTTGAAGGAATCAACACACCCCCAAGATCACTCTCTAATAGCACAAGAAGAGGATTACAAATAAAGATTTCTCAAAGATCAAAATCTCAAGTTAAAGCACAAGTTGGTAGGTAAAGATATTCAATACAATGCTCTCTAAACTTCTTCAGATCTGTTACCAACCATATATATAGCCCCTTGCTCGAATATAGCCGTTTCTAGCCGTTGGGGGTCATTAAATGTTCTACAGGACGCATGGCTCGAGTTGCATAACTGTTAGGAGAGTCGGCTTAGATTTCTAGAGCCGGCTTACACTTCCAGAGCCGGCTATCCAGGTTTGCAGGCCATTCTGTTTTCCTCGAGAGCTGGCTGCAAGACTTTGAGCCGGCTTTGGAATTTCGATTTTAAATACATTCAAAAGAGTCTACCGTTGTGTATTAAATGCACCCTCACAGTCGGCTATAAAGTTGGAGCTAGCTTTGCGTCTTTTCTCCGTGCACGCCAAGCAACGGTCTTCAAATTTTTGCCTGTAGAGCCGGTTGCAACTTCCAGAGTCAGCTCTCTGCACTTCCATTTCACCAGAGCTGACTGCAACTTTTAAGAGTTGGCTCTCTGCACACTTTGAATCCTTTTGATCTATTTTTAATGCAATCCAAGTTTATTTGCAATCTTTTAGCAACTTAACTATATATTTAAATAAACCAATTAGTCACTCAAATGTATTTTGTAATTATCAAAATCATAGGTACAACATTAATTAATTAAAATAATTAATTAATTGAACGATTAATTCAATATTAATTAAAATTAATAAAAATTAATTAATTATATTTATCAATCTCTTCTAATCAACTCAAAATATAATCAATAAATATAATTAATTTACTTTAATTAAAATTAATTAATTTTATTAATCAAACATTTAAACTAATTATCTTAATCAATTAACCATTTTTATTTAGTTTTTTCTTTTTACCCTTTTTTTTTTGTTTTGTTTTTTTATTGAGTCGGGTCAACCCGACCCACAAAACACGACCTCTCAACCCAAAACGGACAAAACAGATCAAACACCAAACAGAAAAAAAAGTCTTCAATTAGGGTTCATCATCTCATTTCCAGCAAAAGGTGAACAGATTCATGAAGCAAATAAACAGGCAAATCTATGATCTTTCATTCATTTCTCAAGAAATACATACGATCTTGAACATTAAATGAAAAATACAAAGAGAAAGAAATCAACAAACAAAGCAACACCCACGGCGAAATTCTTCTAGGAAAAGCAGATCCAGATCTGATGGGAGGGATCCCACCCACGAGACCAGGCTCCCATCGTCCCCTTCACCACCGTTCCTAGAGAACTCCTCTGTTCAAAGAAATTACCTACACAAAGTAGACTCAATTCTTCCAGCAGAACAATTTTTCCTTTTCCCCGCCGTCAACACCAAACTCACCCAAAAAAAAAAGACCTCCCTCTGCTAACCTAAAACCCTCTATTTATACCCAAGCAAAATGGCAGAGATCCCTTTTTTTTTTCTAGCATTCCAATCCTACCCCTTTTTTGTTTGTTTCTTGAGCAGGCACGGGCCGGGCTGGTGCAGGGGATTGCAGCCCGCAGGGGACGTGACGCAAGGCCGATGCAGGGCGCCAGGTTGCTGCAGACGCGCAGGGGCGCAAAGAGGAAAGTGCAGGGCTGGTGCAGGGCCTGTGCAGGGGCGCAGGCTGATGCAAGGCCGGTGCAGGGGCTGGTGCAGCGGATTGCAGCAAGCAGGGTCGCGTGCTCGGTGCAGCAAGCAAGGTCAACGGCGCAGAGCAAAGGGGATCTGGGCGCGGGCTCGGTGCAGGCGGAGGGACAAGGCGCAGCAGAGGGTGCAGGGCAGGGGGCATGGGCGCAGGCTGGTGCAGGACGTGGACGTGGGCGCAGGCTGGTGCAGGCGCGCAGGGCAGGAGATCTTTCCCCTTTTCTGTTTTTCTGCTCTGCAGCCCTCTTCCTTCTTCTTGGCATGTTGCCGGTTTTGGACGAGAGAGAAGGCTAGGGTTGGTTTTTGAAGGAGATTTCGTCCGTCCCCCCATTTTTTTTTTTTTTTTAAGTGGGTTTTGGGTAGTGGGTTGGGTTTTTGATGGTTTTTGGGTTTGGGTTTGAGTTAAATGGGTATTGGGATTTTGGGCTTGGGTTTGATGGGTTTTGGGTTTGGGTTTGTAAATTCATTTTGATGAACTTCACCCCTTCAACTTTTAATTTCTTCAATTCAGTCCCTTCTTTCTTCTTCTTGAATTTTCCAATTTCTTTTTGCATGTAGCACCTGAAACAAAATAAAGATATATTAGTCAAAGGAAAGGGAAAATTTCATATTTTTATATTTTTGATTTTTTTTTGGATAAAATTTTGAGTTATGACATATTCAAATCTTCAAGGCTTTTTTTTTTTTTTTTGGCATTTTTCATACTTTAACTTTAAATCATCATGTTTTTCTCATTCAAACTTCGTTTGGAATGTTCTTATACTCTATAGAAAGCTTGTGATGTCTACTTTTATATGAACTAACTCTTGAACCAAAACTTTCACCATAAACATATCTCCTTAATTCATGCATATGAAAATTTAAGTCAACTAAGATCATCAAAAACATCAAAGTCAACTGTAGTCTTAAATGTTTGTAAGCATTTTAACCATCTAAGCATATTTATAAGGACATTACTCCCCCTTGATGAAGGCACTCATGAGAGCATGAACATAATTATTGTCATAACCCAATTTTTACTATGGGGCTAAATGATAAAATTAGAAGTCAATGGACTATTTTTGTAAAGCTGGAAACTTGAAGGGATTAAGAAGAGGAAATGGAAAAATGACGTCGTTTTGCCAATGGGTTAAAAAAAAAAAAATAATAATAAAAGGCTGGGTTTTCCGTTGAACCCTAGCCTCCTTGTTTTTTCTGCTGCACCTCCCCTCTCATCAATTCCAACACGATGCCAAAGGGATTTCTTTGAAGATAAGCTCAGCCAATTGAAGGATTTGGATAAGGACGTACAAACCGTAAGTCATCAACTCCAAAGAGTCCAAAATTGATTCAAGGTGGGGATCCTAATGCATAAAAGGTATGAATTTAGGCTTAAAAGAGGTAGATGTGGGAAGAACTAAGAAATCCCATTCCAAATAAGATTGGGTTGTTATCTTAGGGATTGGCATTGGAAATTAGAAGTACATTAGAACTGGGTTTTTCCCTTTGTCTATAAAAGGTGGCCTTTGGCTTTAGATTTAGGGGGGGAGGAGAGCCGAGAGATTGAGAGAGAAAGAGAGTAAAAAAATAGGAAAAAGACTAAAGAAAAAGAAAAAGGGAAGGAAATCTTGTACTCTCTTAAAGTTTCTTTCTACAAACAAATAATATCAAATTTCTACACTTCTTCAGGTATGTGTTTTTTTATTTCCCTTTCTTTCGTTATAGGTAATTGCTAGCTTTTTTTTAGTTGTTTCTTTTCATGGTTTGTCTGTGCCTTTAATATTTTTATTTTTCATTTGTTTCTCACCTATTTTGTTCGTCAAGTCATAGGTTTTTTCTTTTTCTTTCTTGTTTCATTATGCTGTTCATCACTTTGCTACCAATATGACTTTTTTTTTGTTTTCTTTAATTAAATTAGATTTTTTTTTACTAAAAAGAAAGGTTAAAACCCTTTTTTGGTCCCTGAACTATTGTACGGACCCTCGATTTGGTCCCTGAACTAAAAAAATCCCTGATTTGGTCCCTACTGTT